AAATACTTAACAAATTCAATTTAAATGCAATGTAATATAATATAGTTTAAAATAATATAGTATTATAAAATAATTAATTACCCTTCTAATATCAATGAAATCCTCCTCATCATTCTCTCCCCTTGTCGGGATTGCCTGCAGATACTACAGACCCCCACCAGAATATCTGTGGTCTGGCACATCCCACACCACAGCAGCGACCCCAAAGGCAGCAGGATTCAATCCCAGCAGGTCCAGGTTCCCAGATCCATGTGCTGTTCAGTTTTCCTGAAAGGGCAGCTCCAATATGCCCAGAGCTGCTTGGATGTGATGTGGCACAAACCCCACATCTGACAGTGAAAGCATTCTGCTGGAGCACAGCAGGAGGAAAGCAAATTACTGTGGAGTAAACCAGAAAATCCATCATGGGTGGGAAGAGGAGGAGGGAACTGGTTGAAGGATCCACGTACAGGACTGTGACAGCAATCAAACAACAGCCCTTTAAATGTCAAGGGGTGTGAGCGTGGTTTAATAGCAACCAAAACGCTGCCAAGCTGGGTGATGAGGAACAAAGCAGAGGGATGGAGACATCCACCCATTATCTGCTCCCTGGAGAAAGAGAGGAGGGAGATAATTCAGGTTTATGCTTGATCTGCTGTGTAAATCTCGGAGAGGTAATGTTTTCTTTTATCAAAAGGGGAAAAAAGAGAATGTTTGTTTTCAGCAGTGTCGCTGCCATCAGCCTGAGCTGGGCTGTACAAATGAGATTCACAGAGTTTGCAGCCAGCCAGAGCTGGGCAGGATTGCACCCAGGAGGGATGGAAGCCTGCAGGGTGTGAGCTGGCCAGCCCCTGGCTGCCTTGGAGGCAAAGGACTGACTGTGAGGGGGATCAGCAGTGTGAAAAATGCACATTTTATGATTGGCTTTTCGCAAATATTAAAATGAATATTCTATGTGTTATGTTAGAAAGTTATGCTGTACTAATTTTCTTAAGTAATGTGTTAAATATAGTTTTAGGTTATAACATAATGTGTGTTAAATATAGTTTGAGGTTATAACATAATGTTAAAATAGAAACTATGCTATGTAGGATACTTTTTTAAAGAAAGGACTCGCACTGAGATAGCAGCCACAGGACACCTCAATCTTCAGGAGAAAAAGAATTTATTGCTCCATTACCAGAAGAAACTTCTTTTATCACCTCTTATCAGAAGAAACAAACTTCTTCCTGCCTTGCTCAGCCCTGAAGACACCGTTAGGATTCAAAGGAAGAAGTTGACATTGACCAGAGAGAATCCTGTATTTGAATGGAATTTATGCATCATGAATGAGATGTATGAATATGCAACAGGTTATTGTTTTTAAGGGTTAATCCTTTGTTAACATGTGCCCTTTTTCGGGCTTATGTTGCCCAGAAAGAGGTACCTGGACATCCATAACTCTTTGTTTCTATTGTCTTGTATTGTCCTAATCCAAATTGTCCAAATTTTTATTACTCTAATTATATTACTATTTTTATAACCATTTTATTACTATTAAACTTTTAAAATTTTCAAAACAAGTGATTGGCGTTTTCCACAAGCAGGATGCAGGGTTTGCAGCAACGGGTGTGAAATTCTTTTACCCTCACAAATAAAACTCATGGAAGGGTGTGAAATGCTTTTATTCTGCACACACCTGCCCTGGGCCAGGGAGGGAATGGGTGGCTGTCCCTGCCCACAGTGCTGGGATTGCCCCTCCACCTCCCTGCCAGGCTGGTGGCAAACAAGGCTGGGAGGGCTCAGAGAGTGCCGGGGGAGCCAGCACAGCCTGGCTGGCTCATCCACACTGCACATTTGGCTCCAGTGATGCCTCAAGGCTGGCCTAGAACAAGAGGCTGGACAGAGCTAAAGAATAAAGCAGGGATTTATGAAAAGGATCTCCTCAATGGATCCACCTTGGGCAGCACAAGAGCCCAGCCAGGGCTGCACCCAAGATGAACCAAAATGGCCCCAAAATGCACAACTCCTCACAGGGTCTCTCACTTTGATCGGTTCTGCTCCATGTGCATCTTGCAGTTCATTGTCCAATTCCAGCTTTAGCCCATCCGGTCCCATCCTTGTTTTTCTCTCTCCAGCCCATGGTGTTTGTGCTCTTGGGCTGAGATTTGGATCATTTGTCCTTGGTGCCCAGCTGGAGCAGGAATTGTTTTGTCTCCCTGCTCTGTGCACAGAGCTCACCATCCCCTCATGTGAAGCTCAGACCCACACACTAAAGCAGCACAGAATGTGAAACATATAAAAGCCAAAACCTGAGGCATCACCAGGGCTCTCCCACCATGCTCTGGGTACCTCGCACCCCTGAAGGATTTCACTGCAATCACAGTTGGATTTGATGGTCTTGGAGGTCTTTTCCAACATCAAAGATTCTACAAATTTGTGAGGAAAAAAAGAACACTGAGCATGGTGAGCTCAGCATTAAACCAGCAAGGCATGAAAAGCAGGGCTGTGTTGGGAGAGGGGAGATCCCTGGTCAAGGGGCAGCAGGGAAGGGCTTTGTACTCTGAGAAGCACAAAAGCAGCTTTTGCAGAGTCAGCTCCTCAGATCTGCGGGTATTTGTGTTTTCATTCATCCCCCTGCATCACAATTCTTTGTGCAAAGCAGGGATGGTGCCCTCTGCTTTCACAGGGACTGGGAAGATGTTCCTGGGTGTTTGCAGAATGCTCCTGCTGTGTATTTACAAGGGCAGAGGAGATGAAGAGCTCAGTGTTCAGAGCAGGCTCTGAGCAGGGCAGGCACCCACTCCAGGGAATCTCAGTGTGGGATTTCCTGCTCAGCTGGCTCAGCTGGGGCTGGGCTGGTGGCACAAACCTGTCCCTGTGTCACCCAATCCCTGTGGGGATGTGCCAGCACCCAGAGGCCACACTAGGCTTTAATGGGCAAAAATGAGGTTTTGTTTGCTGGTGGTGTGGTGCTTGGTTTTCCCAGCTGCTCCTCCCATCCACGTTTTGCACAGCTTGGACCTGTATGTATATTTTATAAGAGGTCTGCTAAAATGTGTTACTGCAGAAATAAAACTAAACACTGCTTCATTTTTAATGAGCCATCAGGGAGCAGGTTACTGCTTGTGTGTTGGAGTGGTTTTCTGCTCCCAGGCTGTTTATACCAAAATGTCTTGGAGGGAAAATTGTGATTATATTTCTTGAGAGATACGTGTATTTGTGCTGAAAGCCTCTCTCCCAGCCAGGAGTGGGGCTGTCAGAGTTGCTGAAAGTGAAGCACAATTCAACATAAATAGGCAGCCTTGAGAACCATCAGCAGAATATTAAATCAAAATAGTGATTTACTCTGTATTAACTGCCCTGTGGTTTCAGCTCCAGCCAAGAACAGCCTCTGAACTCTCTGTGCAGAGATTTTGCCTTTGGGGGGGGGATTATAATAGTGGAATGATGGAATGATTTGGGTTGAAAAGGACCTAAAAGCCCATCCCATTCCACCCTGACATGGGCAGGGACACACTTCACTGTGTCCCAGGTGGGACAACCTGGCCCTGGGCACTTCCAGGGATGGGGCAGCCACACCCAACTCCAGAGCAGAGGGGCTGCAATCCCTGGAGCATCTCTGTAACTCCAGCCCTTGGAGCATCTCCATCACTCTAGCCTTTGGAGCATCTCCATAGCTCCTGCTCTTGGAGCATCTCCATCACTCTAGCCTTTGGAGCATCTCCCAAGCTCCATCCCCAGGAGCATCTCTGTAACTACAGCCCTGGAGCGTCTCTGTAACTCCAGCCCCTGGAGCATTTCCGTGGCTCCCCTTGCACCAGCAGCTCCGGGCCCTTCTCTGCCGGCCCCGAGGCCACAGTGCTGGGCTCTGTTCCCCTCCCGTTCCCGGACTCCGCTCCCGGCCGTTCCCGGACTCCGCTCCCGGCCGTTCCCCTCCCTTTTCCCTCCCGTTCTCCTCCCGTTCCCGGGCTCCTTTCCCAGCCGTTCCCCTCCCGTTCCCGGCTCCGATCCCGGCTGCCGCTGCGGTCCCAGCTCTCGCCACACGAGGGCGCTGTCCCTGGCGGGCCGTGCCCTGCGCGACGCTCCGGCCCGCGGCTGTTCTCGGTGCCCTTCGGGCCGCGCTTCCGGCCGCGTGGGGATGAGGGAAGGCCGGGCCCTGGCGGGCACGGGGGCGCTGAGGGAAGGCTGGGGCCCTGGCGGGCTGGATGGGAGCTGGGGGTCAGCGGAGTGTGGGGTGTTGGGTGCGGGGAGGGGGCTGGGAGAAATGGAGTTGGGTCTGGAGAGCTGCGGGTGATGAGGGTCGGGGGCAGAGTGTGGGGTGCAGGAGGGGCGGTAATGGGGGCTGCGGGGTCAGCAGGGGCTGGAGGCGGTGTGGGAGGTGGGGGACATTGGGGACTCAGGGTTTGGGGTGCGGAGTGGGGGGGAAGCGAGGTCCTGGAGTGCAGGGCATGGAGGTTTGGGGGCGGCTGGATTCGGGGGTGCAGGGGGGTTTGGGATCAGGGTGGTGGGTATTGCGGTACGGGGGGAAGGGTGTGGGGTTGCAAGGGGTGCTGCAGTGGGGTTGGAGGATGGTGTGGCAGGCAGGGGTGAAGGTGAAGAGGCCGGAGCAGACGGTTTGGGGGGCTTGGGATGCAGTGAAGAGGGGTAGTGAGGGCCTGGGGGACAGGGTGTGGGGTTCTGTGGTGGGCTGGGGGAGGCAGCTGTTGGGGTACAGGGGGGACATTGGGGTGTAGCGAGTGCCTGGGGGGCTGCAGTGGGGGCTGGGAGAGGCAGGGTTTGTGGGGCTGGAGCATTGGGGGCTGCAGGGTGTGGGGGCTTTGGGACTGTGTAGGGTGTCTGTAGGAGGGCTGGGGTGCTGTGCAAGGACAGCTCTGGGGTGTGGCTGCTCCCTGGGGACGTGTTGGGCCCACAGCAGGGTGGGAGCGCAGAGTGGGGTGTAAGGGGTGAGCTGTGTGGTGGGGAGGGGGCTGCAACAGCCAGAGCAGGGTTTGGTTTTGCTGTGTGTGTCCCAGAACTTTGTGTGTCCCAGGGTGTCCTGCCAGCCCCAGATGGTGACACAGGTGGGACTGGGTGCTGCCATTGCTGAGGTGAGGGAGCAGCAGGTGAGTTGTGGGAGCCCTGGTGCCCCCCTGGGCATGGGTAGGGGTCTGTGGGCTGGGGAAGGGCTGCTGGGCGGTGCCAGCCAGCCTCACCCGTGCCCGAGAGCAGCTCCCAGGTGGGCTCCGTGCTGGGCCTCACCTGTGCAGTAACAGGTGTGAACATTCATGAAGCATTTTGATGGTCATGTATGATACTGCAAACAACAGCTGCACCCCTAATGCAGGGAAAAATGGGTTAGGTTGGGTTTTTTTAATGTGCACTGAGTCTTCTTTTGAAAATGTTTTGTGAAATCAAACTGGTGCTCTCTCAGGTATGGAAATGAGAACTTGGCTACTTGATTTATCACTAGATGCTGTTTGAGTTGCAACTTTGTTCCCCACGTAGCAGGGAACAGTGATAAGGTGGTTTCTGCACTTGAGCAAATGTAAGGCTTTGTTGGGAGCTGTGTACTTTGCTCTCTTGTTTACATGTCTGGTTTGTCTCCTGCAGGGGGGTTCACCTGGGGACACGTCAGGGCTGTGTGCCCTGGCAGGTGTGGGGAGGGCCTGTGCTGGGAGCCTGGCACCACAGTGAGCCTGGCTCCTGGCAAACATTCCCTGCCAAAATAACAAGTGCTTTTGCAGTTTGTTGTTGCTGTGGGATGGGTGATGTGGCTCTGGAAGTGGTAGAGATGCTTTTGGGAAGGATTTTAGGGGGAGATGGGGTGGATGATGCTTCAGTTAACACTGATCCAGAGGAAGGGGTGTGTATAGAATGGGGGCTCTGGCTTTAGCATTCCTGGCTGGACATCTTGTTTTTTTAATTTCAGGTGGCTGGAGCAGGAGGTGATTCTGCAGGATAGTGAGAGCTGCTCTTGCAGTTTGGTAATTCCTGTGTGGTCTTGTTGGGTTATCACAGAATCATGGAAGGGTTTGGGCTGAAAGGGAAAATAGAGACCCTCTCCTTCCAGCCCCTGCCATGGACAGGGACACCTTCCACTATCCCAGGTTGCTCCAAGCCCCATCCAGCCTGGCCTTGAATACATCCACAGCTTCTCTGGGCACCCTGTGCCAGGGCCTCCCCAGTCTCCCTAATACCCCATCCAACCTTTGTCTGTGCCTGTTGAAACCATTCCTCCTTATCCTGGCACTCCATGCTCTTGTAAAAACTCCCTCTCCAGCTTTCCTGTGGGTTATAGAAAGCAGCTGTGCCTAATGGATGGTGAACATGAATAAAATCTGTTTTTCAAAGCTGACTTTCTTGTTTAATCCTTTAGTGCCTGAGCACTGTGGGGAGGGCTTTACCTGCTGCAGGTGGCTGTGCAGGAGTGACACCTGCACTGTCCCCGGGGCTGTCACACCCTGAGGATGTGCCCCAGCCCTGCCTGGGGAGCTGTCGGGCAGTGGGATCCTGGATGGAGCTGTGGGATTTGGGATCGTCTCGGTGTGCCGAGCTCCCGCCTCCACTAGAGGGTGTGGAGCGCCGCAGAATCCTTTGTTTTCACGGGAGCGGGAGAACCGGGAGCCTTTCTGTTATCGGATGTGCCGGCAGCGGGGCCGCGGCAGGATTACATCCCTGAGGGACATCCTGCTCCGTGCCCTGGCAGCAGCCCAGGCTGCATTACACAACGCCAGCCAGCTCGGGACATGCCATGGATTGTCCCTGGGCAGCCTGCACCCAGGAGGAGCAGCTGGAGTGTGCAGGGCAGGCAGCTCTGCTCTAGGCTGGGTCAGGTGGTGCCCAGCTCCTGGTCGAGGTTTCCTGGAGGGATAACTTGCACATTCCAAGCTCCCTCTCCCTTCTCTTGGGGAGAAAAATTTATCTAAACAGCAGGGACAAATTTCCTGTTTCACTTGCACAAGAGCCTGGCTCCTAGATTTCCCTTCCTGGAGGGAATTTCCACTTGCTCTGCAACCTTCCCAAGCCAAGCCCAACATCAGTGTGCAGTGAAATTCCACAAGGCTGTCCTGCCTGCAGGGCTGTGTGTGCTCCCTGTGCTTGTAGGATGTGTTGCTCAGCTCCAGCTTGGCTCCTTGGCCAGGTGTAGGATTTCTTCCTTGCTAAATTCTGCCTCCAAGTGTCTCACTAAGAACAAAATCCTGAGCAGAACTGGACCCAGCATTGCCCTGCTGCAGCACTGAGTGCCCAAAGGAGCACCCAGAGGGGAGCTGGGTGAGCAGGTGATGCTGTGGCTGTGGAGGAACACAGGGGATGTTGGAATTCAGGACATCCCTCTGGCTGTCCTGGAGTGCCAGGGCCCCTGCCAGGGGGCTCAGAGACCCTGGCACAGAGCCCAGGATGCCAGGATGTGGTATTGATTATGACCCATGGAGCAAGTTACCAGCCTTATGTGAAGATCTGCAAGCCACAAACATATAAGTAGAATAATAATCAGTTTGTCACGAGGTGAGAAATAGATGTTTGGGGTTTTTAGAATGGGGGTTCAGGGGGTGATGGAGGAATCTGGGTGTGTCCAGCCTTTCTCCTTCTTCTTGGCCTCCATCTTCTACTGTGATGTTGGCACTTTTAGATGGGTTTAGAAGCTCACTGTCTAACATAGGTGATAGGTATTGGGAAGCAATTGTAAACATTGTACATGTAGTTTTTAGCATAAAGACATAACATTGCCCTGGGGGCAGGCAGAGTGCCTCTGACTGAATGGACCTTGGCAGGCCAGGAGAAAGAATTTCATAGATAAGATACAATAAACAACCTTGAGACTGAGAACTGAAGAGTTCTGACTCCTTTTTCAACTGCTGGGCTGGAAAAAGAGACTTTAACACATCTTGGGGTTACTGAGCAGCAAAATCCTGAGAAGGCTCCTCTGCAGCTGCTGGTACCGTGTGGGTCTGTGACATTTTGGAGCTGGATCCATCTGTGAGGGGAGCAGCTCCACAGGCAGGTGGGATGTGCAGCTCTGTGGTGTCAGGAGGGCCCGAGGCCTCCATGTGCTGCCAGGGATGTCCAGTCAGAGCCTGGCATAGGAAGAGCCAACTGACCTCTCCAGGGACCCTCTTGGAGGAATCCTATGGGTGAATATCCTAGAGGGAGGAGGGGTCCCAGAGAGCTGGATAATATCCAAGGATCGCTTCTTCCAGACTCTATAACGTCACTATGGACAAGGAATGGAGCAAAAGGGACAGGAGAGCTGCAGGGATGGACATGGAGCTCTGTCAGGAGAGACAATGAGGGGGAAGAAGGGCCAGGATGGACACAGGGATGGTGTCTGAGTGTGCTCTGGTGTGCTCATCCATGGCCAGGAGTGCTGATGGGAGGGAGGTCAGAGACCATGTCCCCCCAGTGCCAGAGCCTGGTGCAGAGCCAGCTGTGGAGCAGCAGCCAGGATCATAACCCAGCCAAGCAAATCCTCCATCAGCTGAGCATGAAATGGAGATTTATGTGTGTAATGAGGAAGGAGGCAGACAGGAACCTGTGTTATACCTCAACTGCAGCCAGGCCAAATCCCAAACACTGGGGCTGTGCTGGAATCTGGTCAGACCCTGTGGAAAGGGAGCATCCCTCCCTGTGGTCATGGGTGATGCCAAGGCTGTGGGGAACAAGCTGAGGGCAAGGTGGGGCAGGTTGGTGAGCTATGGGGACACCTCTTTATCCTCCAGAGCACAGCCCAGAGAGGGCCTGGCTGTGCCTGGGGTGTCTCCCCTCACACTGAGCCCAGCCCTGCTCCAGGGCTGCCTTCTGCTCTCCCCTGCTCTGCTCCTGGTTTTGCTGAGGCTGGAAGAACTTTGAGCTCTCTGCCTGGCTGGACCTGAAGCTGGGGCAGCAATCAGCTCCCACTGTCTGTGCTATGTAAGGGTTTGAACTTTGCCCTGTTGGAAGTGGAAATGTCTGGCCTGCTCTGATCTCTGCAGAAATTGTGAGTGTGGAGATTGAGAGCTGTGGCCACTTCTGCTGGGTAAACAGCCAGAGAACTGCCTGTTTGCCACCTCTCCTCTCCCTCAACCCCCCACTGAAGATGCTCTGGCAGCTCTCTTGGAGTGTGACCTCTGGGAATAGCGCTGGCAGCCCGCAGTGCAGCCCAGACCACTTGGTGACAGCTCACCTCTGCTGAGAGGCTGCTTTTAGCTGCTCCCTCAAGAGCTGTTTTTAGGTCTGGCTGTAGCACTGCTCTTCCTTCAGCAGCAGCTGAAGTCCTTTGGGCACAAGAAGGACATGTCTGGTGTCTGACTGCCCTCATCCTGTGGGGATGGATGAGGCTGGGCCGGGCACAGCCTGAGCATCCTCACAACTCCCAGCTCCCACCAGAGCCAGGACTGCGTGGCAGGAGTTGATGCCAATCACTGTGCTGTGGTAATAATGTAAGAGGGCAAGCAAAGAAAGCTTAAAAAATATATATTTTTAAGCCATAGCTAAGAAATCTGCCATGGCTCCAAGTTGGACCTCGCAGTCAGAGGTGAGCAGGCTTAATTTGACAGCTATTTCTTAAATATTTTAAAAGCTGCCTGGAATAAACTGAATGCTTCCGAGTAGTGACCTAAATTCCACTTGCTGTAAATTTCATTAGAAAGTGGATTTGTGTGCCTGCCAGGCTGCTTTGCAGCTTCATTGATCTGCCCAAACCATGTGCTGTGCAAGTGCCTTCCTCAGCAGATTTTTAAAGAGCTCACTGCTGCCTGCTGCCAGCCCAGAATGTGACTTGTTTTCTTTCTTTTCTCTCCTCTTCCTCTTTATTTTTTGTTTCCTGGTGCAAATGCATGATTTGTTTACCAATCACATTGCATCATTAGTTGCACAGAGTCATCCCACTGGCTGCGTGGGCACGGATGGAGCAGCTGGGAAGGAAAATGTCACTGTCTCCAGCTCACTTGATGTGCTTTGCTCCCAAATCCCCATCCCACGCCATGAAGGCCAAAGACTTTCACAACCCTGGCAGCTGCCAGCAGCTCTCTGCTCTCCAGCACTGTCACCTGTGGTTGTGACACCCCCTGGAAAAAGCCTCCTCTCCTCCTGCTGTCCCCAAGTGCTGTCTGTCCCTGTGCAAGCACGGCTTTGGATCCTGTGGAGAGGTGTGATGGTGGCACAGATGGCACAGACTGAGGAAAATAGCCTGGAGAGAGGTGGGACTGCCACACCTGTGGATGCAGGAGCAACATGCAGTGCCCCAGGCCTGACAGGGTCCCACAGGGGATGCTGAGCTCCCTTGCTGTGCTTGCAGCCCACCTGCAGGGTTAAAGGGGGTGGAGAGGGGCTCTGTGCAGCACCACAGGGGCACAGGGCAGAGCCACAGCTCTGTGGCATGTTTGGTTTCTCTCCTGCAGTGGGGTTCAGCTCCTGTGTGGCCTGGTTGGGCTGAAGCACTGGGTGAGGGGAAGGTCCCTGTGTCCCTGAGGTTGGATACCCAGCCCTGCCTGCCCCACGGGAACCCTATTTTGGGGTTGTCCCCCTGCCCCTGGCACTTCTGCTCCTGGGGGACCCCCAGCCTGGGGAAAGGCTCCATCACAGTATGAAACCCAAGTTTTGGAAGCCCCAAGGCCTTGCTGTGTTTGGGGGGGTTGGGGAGGCTGTGCTGCACATAAAGGCCTAACCCCGAGCCCATCCTACAGGAATGAAGTGCTGGCACCCAGCAGGAGCTCTGACAGCTCTTCCCAGTTCACAGCACGAGGCAGAGCTGGCTTTTGAAGAGGAGCTTTCCTGCCCAAGGACAGTCCCAGCACTGCCAGGCTGGCATGGAAAACAGCACTGGCAGCAAGCCCAGGGGGGGGTCTGGGCCAGGAGGGCATGCTTGTGTTGAAGGGATGTCTAAGAGAATTGGTCATCACAGAAATGTTCTCCAGAGGGTGAGATTGCAAAACGTGAGTTTCCCTCAGCTGTCTCCTGTGCAGCTGGAATATGGGAGGGACTGGAAATACCCCAAACCCACCCAGAGGGGTGTCTAATGTCAAGGGTGGAGGTTGGAGAGAAATATCTCCCTCTTCTAACCAATGTCTATGACTGAACATTGTGAAGACACATCTGGAGCGGGGGTTTGTGCTTCTCTTGCTGTGAGGGTGATGAAAGTGGGAAGAAATCCCTGTCTTGGAGCTGTGGAACATGGGACTGTCCTGCCTCCTGATGAGGAAGGGGCTTTCTTGGGCTGAGTTTTTGCCCCCAAGCAGCAGCAGCAGCCCTTCCTCTGCCTTCCCTTCCCCTTTAGGGATGCTAAATGCCAGGATCCTGGCTGTCCTCTGCTCTGGGAGAGGTGCTGCTTCACCTCTGCTGTACAGCAGTGATTTATTTTCAGAAGTTAAACCTGAGGTC